CCTTTTTATATTTGACTCTTGGTCAATAAAGATGCAATGTTGTTTACTGCTCTATTCACAACTAGGGGTTTCTTATCACCAGCAGTATGATAACATGAACACATTCAGTAGCCCCTCTATTAGTATTGCCCCTGTTCCACACATTGGATCAACTATTGTAACTAAGGTAGAGGACCACAGAAGCTGGGTATCCCAGGGGCAAGAGCTGATAGGTCCAAAATGTTGATAGGTACAAAAGAGTTCATAGGTCTAAAATGTGTGATACGTCTTCAGGGGAGACTCACTTTCGTCAACGCAATGCCCACAATGATTTCATCATCATAGATATTCAAAGGAATTGCAATATCAAAGTTGTTTGTGTTGGCCTTCCACTTAAAATAGTCTTGAAAGTCACCCCCAGAATCTCTTCCAGCCTCATTTGAGGTAAAGCAATGTTTCTCTCTTACTCTGTTGCACATGACTCTAAACTTTACACCTGAAGCTTGGTTTCTTCTTTTTTGCTTTCATCAGTCTCATCTTTGCAAGATGCCAAATCATTACCTACTAATGTTGCTACCTCCTTTGATGGCTGGATTTTCACAATAATCTAAGATGTGTGAATCTAAAACATTGGAGTGGCCGGGCACAGTGGCTCATGCCTGTAATCCCAGCACTTTGGGAGGCCGAGGAAGGTGAATCACCTGAGGTCAGGAATTGGAAATCAGCCTGGCCAACATGATGAAACCCTGTCTGTATGAAAAATACAAAAGTTGGCTGGGCGTGGTGGCGGGTGCCTATAATCCCAGCTACTCAGGAGACTGAGGCAGGAGAATTGATTAAACCCAGGAGGCGGAAGTTGCAGTGAGCCAAGATCCTGCCATTGCACTACAGTCTGAGAGACAAGAGCGAAGTGGCTCATGCCTGTAATCCCAGCACTTTGGGAGGCTGAGGCAGGCAGATCACCTGAGGTCAGGAGTTCAAGATCAGCCTGGTCAACATGGTGAAACCCCGTCTCTACTGAAAATACAAAAATTAGCCAGGTGGCAGGCACCTGTAATTCCGGCTCTTTGGGAGGCTGAGGCAGAAGAATTGCTTGAACCTGGGAGGTGGAGGTTGCACTGAGCCAAGATCACGCCATTGCACTCCAGCCTGGGTAACAGTGCTCCATCTCAAAAAACAAAACAACAACAACAACAACAAAACCATTGTAGTGAATGAACTCTTAACATCTCTCTCATCTATTTTGACTTCTTGTCCATCATCAACCTTCCCTTTACCTGAATTCTCAATTACCTTTTTGAGCTTTGGGATTTTTCCCCCTTAAAATCAACATTAATTTCCTTAATTTCCCTTAAGTAAAGTGTTTGACAATGGGAGTTTTCCAGCTAAGTCTTCAAAATTCTTTAGAATTTCTTTGTTTTTCTAAACAAAGAAACTTGATCTTGAAACTCCTGAACAACCACAAATAAGTTATCAACTGATCTCGGACAATAACCTTGAGCCAAATTTTCACTGAAATGACAAAATGTATCTTGCCATGGTCTCTGCTGATTGCACAGTGACCCCAATTTGTCTCTCACTTCATCCACAGCTGTTTGCTCAAAGCTGGCTCCAATAGCTGCAATCACCCTTGCAAAAACTAAAACAGTGAGAAAGTTACAACAGTGAAAGGGATCTGACCTAACCGACTCCATCTTGATTCTAACCAGGCTGCGCTTGTTTATTTCTGGGCATAGGCTGAATTAACTTTTGGTGGAACTTAAAGCAGAACTTTGAAACAAAGCCAATAAAAGTCCTTTCCCAAAACAAACCACTTACTTGCCTGGGGACCAGACTACCTTTGTAAAACTAACAAATTAGACACAAGATTAGAAATTATGGTTTAGGAGTCATGCACTCAGAGGCTGTAAGACTCTGAACCTTCCCAATTGCTCCTAGGAATAACATCACTGCTATAAAACCTAAGATTGGTACTGAAGATATTTCCTATACCCTGCATTCTGATGCACCAACTGCTGCCACCCAGACCAATAATCTGGCTCAACCTGCTCTGTGATCCCACCCAGAAACAAAAGACAGCTAGAAAAACCCACTTTGACCCCCTATGACTTCACCTCTGACCCATCCAATCAGCATTTCCCACTCCCTGGCCCCCAACCTGCCAAGTTATCCTTAAAAAACCCCAGTCTCCAAATTCTCTGGGAGACTGACTGGAGTAATAAACTTCTGGTCTCTTGTACAGCTGCCTATGCATGAATTAAACTGTATCTGGGCCACTGGGCAAAATGAACACATTGGGCAGTTACACAGCGACTTGAGGAAGCTGAGACTCACTTCTGAGATCACTTTCTGTCACTTGTACAGACATCTGGTTCTCATGCAGGTTTACAACTAGGAGCTGTTAGTGGCTTCTTGAATGTCAGACATGTTGGCAGTACTTCCAAGATCCCTAACACTGTCCCAGGCTCTGGAATCCAAGGATGGCCATGAGGAGTGATCTTGGAAATATCTATGCTGTCCTTGTGCCATGTCAGGCACACATAACAGTGTTTAACACTAATTCAGTTTCTGCACCTAAGGAGCTCATAGTTTCTGTGAATACTATTTTCATCTTCTAAAAAAGGCAACTGAAGTCAGTGAAAAGGATATGTCAGGCGGCCACACAGAAGCTTTCAGCTCCAGCACTCTACTGGTCTCCTGTGCTCAGGTCACACTACTGGAAGCCACCTCCAGGTCTTCACTTTTCTACCTCCAGGTAATCCAAAATAAAATGTTCTCCCTATCTCTTTTCCCCTGAACTCATCATCATATACATGGTAATTCCCAGGCTAAAGCCTAGGAATGTAACCGTCCAATGTGTTCACCTTGCCCAAAGCCTAGACACAGCCGATTCATCAAGACAGGGGAATTGCAATCCAGAAAGAGCAATTCTCGCAGAGCTGGCTGAACAGAAGACTAGAGGTTTTTGTTTTGTTTTGTTTTGTTCGGTTTTTTTGAGACGGAGTTTCCCTCTTGTTGCCCAGGCTGTAGTGCAATGGTATGATCTCAGCTCACTGCAACCTTCACCTCCCAGGTTTAACCGATTCTCCTGCCTCAGCCTCCCAAGCAGCTGAGATAGATTACAGGTACTCGCAACTATGCCCACCTAATTTTTTTGTATTTTTAGTAGATATGGGATTTCACCATGTTGGCCAGGCTGTCGCAAACTCCTGACCTCAGGTGATCCACCCGCCTCAGCCTCCCAAAGTGCTGGGATTACAGGCGTAATCCCTGGCCAACTACTCTATATAATAAAGTGGATAGGCTGGAGTCTTCAGGGCTTAACTGTTTCACTAAGCTTTAGTGGCAATATTCTACCTTGATTAACTCTACGACTTTTATCTACAGAAGAAACAAAATGTAATGAATTGAATTCCCACAGAATAAACAAAAAAACTGTGTGTGTGTCTCCATTCATCAAGGAGGACAGAAGCTGAGAAGATAGCACACTCATCAGCTTGGGATGTCACAGAACATGTCAAAGAGACAGTAAGGAGTTGCAACTACAAGAGGGTGAATGGAAATCACAGGTCCAGGCTACCCATTAGGCTATAATTTAATGAGTCTTAAAGCTCTTTAAGATTCTGCATCCTAGGCCAGGTGTGGTAGCTCACACCTGAAATCCCAGCACTGTGGGAGGCTGAGGAGGGCAAATCACTTGAGCCCAGGAATTCCAGACCACCTTCGCCAACATGGTGAAACCCTGTCTTTACTAAAAATACAAAAAAAATTAGCCGGACATGTGGTGCATGCCAATAATCTTAGCTAATCAAGAAGCTAAGGTAGGAGAATTGCTTGAACCCAGGAGGCTGCAGTTGTAGTGAGCCAAGATCGTGCCACTGCACTCCAGCCTGGGCAACTGAGCGAGACTCCATCTCCGGAGAAGAAAAAAAAAAAATCCCATATCCTACAACTGATTTCAAGATTCATAGTTGGCCGGGCGCAGTGGCTCACGCCTGAAATCCCAACACTTTGGGAAGCCGAGGCCGGTGGATCACCTGAGTTCAGGAATTCGAGACCAGGCAGGCCAACATGGCGAAACCCATTTCTACTAAAAATACAAGAATTAGCCAATTTGGCCGGGCATGGTGGCGCATGCCTGTAATCCCAGCTACTCAGGAGGCTGAGGCAGGAAAATCGCTTGAACCTAGGAGGCGGAGGTTGCAGTGGGCCGAGATGGTGTCATTGCACTCCAGCCTGTGCGAAAGAGTGAGACTCCATCTCAAAAAAAAACAACAGCAACAAAAAAGAATGCTTCTAAGATTCATAGTGGATTACCATTCTCAAATTCAGAGGGAGTAAAGAAAGTCCTATAAAACTGTAGGAAAGTTAAATTTCAACCTCTAAATAAAATTCTGCGACAGGTAACTGTACAAAGGTGTCTTTTATTGTACAGTGTCATTCTTGAACTATCACACTTCTTTATAACTAGAAGTTCGTGAAATAATCCACATTTTACGAGTTTTGGCCATTTTGCATTTTTTTTTTTTAAATCAGTCTTTCTGCCTCCTAATCTCCTCCCTAACTCGCTTCCATTTGACAAGAACTGCAAAGAAGGGGAGATAGAGTCCAGCATTTGTCAGCACAGCCTTTGCCCCCGCAAGTTATTCAAAGCACCGGGCTCAAGTCTCTGAAATACTGCTGGGTGTGCATTTTCGAAGTTACTTAAACTTGGCAAATGAGAGGATAGGAGTAAAGAGACGCCAAGCGCGAGTCGCTGGACGTGCACGGCCGGACCCCACCGCGCCCGAGTCCTGGGTCCCAGCAACGCGCGGTGCAGGGGCGACCCCGAGGCGGCCAGAGCGGGGAAGGCCGGCCAGAGGCCCACGGAGCGGGGACGCAGGGAGGCGAGCAAAGCCACCGGATGGGCTGCGGGGTCAGCAGAGACTTCAGCAGACCGCGACTGCTCTCCTCAGAGCGCCCCGGGGAGCAAGCTGGGACGGTGGTCCCTTTAGCCGCCCAGACCAAATCTCGGAGGGTACCTGACTGCGGGCGGCCAGTCCACAGCCCCCTCCTGCCGCCCCAGCCGGAGAAGAGGCCGGTTCTGCGCAGAGCTGCCACCCTCGTCAGCGTCGCCAGCATCGCCAGCATAGTGCGAGTCTCACACAGCATCAGCCACGGTGCGAGCGTCAAACTCCGTGAGGCGCCATCCTGCGCCACTGGGGGGCGCCGACTGACGCCGCAGACCCCACCCCGCGCCGGGCGGGGCGGAGCACTCCAGTCCCAGCCTCCGGCCGGGCCAGTTTCTCGTCTGTCAGTCAGACCGAAGGCGCTCAGACTAGAAAGGTTGTTGCTGGAGTCTGGTCTCCGTCCTTTCCTGTGCCTTTTCCTTCCTCTTTTCACTTAATCCACGAAGTGTCTCGCCAAGTTAGTAACCTTTGTAATACCGCCGTCCCTGGCGGAACCTTTGTGACGCCGGAACCGATGTGCGGTAAGATGGCTGCGGTCGGAGGACTGTTTTGGTAAAGGACTAGCAGTTCTCTGTGGAGGGCCGGTCGATACAGTTCCGGTGGGAGAACGCTGCAGCGAGGTCTTCGGCTTCGGCTCCTGAGATGCAGCGACAGAATTTTCGGCCCCCGACCCCTCCTTACCCTGGTCCGGGTGGAGGAGTTTGGGGTAGTGGAAGCAGCTTCCGGGGTACCCCGGGCGGGGGCGGACCACGGCCGCCCTCCCCTCGAGACGGGTACGGCAGTCCGCACCACACGCCGCCGTACGGGCCGCGGTCTAGGCCCTACGGGAGCAGCCACTCTCCGCGACACGGCGGCAGCTTCCCGGGGGGCCGGTTTGGGTCTCCGTCCCCTGGCGGCTACCCTGGCTCCTACTCCAGGTCCCCCGCGGGGTCCCAGCAGCAATTCGGCTACTCCCCAGGGCAACAGCAGACCCACCCCCAGGTAATAATAATAGCCAGCGTTTGCCGAGCTCTCACTGTATGGCAGGCACGGTACTAATATTCCCTTTACGTGGATTATTTTGTTTAATCCTCTCTGAGGTACTATTGTTAGCCCTGTTTTGCAGATGAGCGAACCGAGGCTTAGAGAAGTTGAATAACTTTCGGAAGATTACCCTATCAGAGTGGCAGAGTCGTCCGTTCTGTTTTAGAGCCCTTGTGCTTTTAACCAGTACGCTGCCACCCATACACAGATTTTCCTAATTCTCCATTTCCTCCTCTTTGCCAAGGGCCTTGCCAGTTTGTTTCAGTAAATCGTTCTTTTTCTCTTTTCTGTTTTTTTTTTTTTTAATCTATCTTTCAAGCTACACTGGCTTCTGTTCCAACTTCCCCGGAGAGAAAATCGGTGGTAGTGGAAGTTTTCCATTCCTTTAGTGAAAGTAAATCCAAAAGACGGAGTGTTTTAGCCTGTCTAGGATTTATTTCTGTGATTTACAACTTGCAACTACGTGTTTTTCCTACGTGTTTTTCCAGCTTGGTGCATTCTACACCAGCCCTACCTCTTTTGAGCCTGGAGCCAAGGAGTAAAGAAAATATTCTTGAGCTAGAAAGGTTCTAGAAACTTTATAGTCTTGTTTTCTCCTGAAAAAATGAACATTTTGAGGGAAAATTGAATAACTTGATTTCATCACGACTTGTATTTAGTTACTGCGAAGTCACTACATTAGACACAAAAGTATTTGAGATGACAGTGGGCATGGAATTATTAATGAGAATACCAGATTGCTTTAGGTACTTAAGAAAAAAAAAAAAAAAGAAGCATGGACTTTGTAATTGAACGTATTTAGGTTCAAGTCACAACCTTTAAGCAGCAATGTGATTCCCTCTAACCTTTAGCTAAAGAAAGAAGCACCAATTATCTCTACTAAGTGTTTTTTTTAACTGATTTTTTTTCTAAAGGGTTCTCCAAGGACATCTACACCATTTGGATCAGGGCGTGTTAGAGAAAAAAGAATGTCTAATGAGTTGGAAAATTATTTCAAGCCTTCAATGCTTGAAGACCCTTGGGCTGGCCTAGAACCAGTATCTGTAGTGGATATAAGCCAACAATACAGCAATACTCAAACATTCACAGGCAAAAAAGGAAGATACTTTTGTTAACATTTCTGAAATTCAACTGGAAGCTTCATGTGTCAGGAACATCTTGGACAAAACCTTAACTTGTGTTGATAGAAATTTACCCAAAGATGACATTGATTGGATAATTAGTAAGGTCTTTTTGTTATTTTTCATAATATCGGGTACTGTTGATATTAGAGAAAAAACTAGGATAATCTGCAACATTTAGCTCTGGAAGTGCCTACCACATTTTAGAGGTTTACAGTTTTCATATATTTAATATTCCTGGTTATATAATGGACATTTGTCTTTTAATGTTTTTTCAATGTTTTAAAATAAAACATTTTGTCTTCTAGCTATATTGTGGTTTGTGATATGATAAAGATGTAGACTTATTACAGTAATGGTTTGTAATCACTTAGAGTTCATAGGTAAAGTGCAAATTATTTTTGAAAATGAAATAGATAAATCATCCTTTGAGCTGTAGTCAGCTCTGTATTTGTTCATAAATAATGAGGATGAGAATAACAGTTCTATTCATACTCATTTTATTTAATGCTACTGTTAAAATGCATTAAAACTTCAAGCCCCAGAATCCCACTTAAGCATAACTTTATACTCATTGAACTGGAAAAAGCAAAGAAAGACCACATATAGCTAAATCAAATTGTTCTATCTGAATTTCTCTACTCTTTACCTTTTAGCATTATGGAGTAATTTTGTCTTGAGGCCAAAGAAGATAGCTACCAGCAGTCTCAAATCACTTCCATTGCAAAAAGAACATCTCTCATCTCCATCAATCCAAGAGAAGACAAATTGGCCATGCTTAGATCATTTTTCTGTATTATTGAACCAATTGAGACTAAGTAGCTTGAATCATGGACACATCACCATAATGAGACAAGATCCTGTGGCCTTGAGCACCACTAGGCCTACCTGGAGTAGAGAAGTGGTTGTCCCAAGTAAGAGATGCTATGTATATATACCTATAGTACTAGAGAGAAAGATATGCAAGAATTATTACCCCAACTATTTTTTAAAACTCAAACTTTTTTTTTTTTTTTTTGAGATGGAGTCTGTGTTGCCCAGGCTAGAGTGCAGTGGTGTGAGCTTGGCTCACTGCAGCCTCTGCCTCCCGTGTTCAAGTGATTCTTCCGCCTCAACCTCCAGAGTAGCTGGGACTACAGGCGCACACCACCATACCTGGCTAATTTTTGTATGTTTAGTAGAGACCATGTGGGGTTTTTTGTTTTTGAGACAGGTTCTCACTCTGTCACCCAGGCTGGAGTGCGGTGGCACAATCTTGGCTCACTGCAACCTCCGCCTCCCGGGTTCAAGTGATTCTCTCACCTCAACCTCCAGAGTAGCTGGGAGTACAGGCACACACCCGGCTTATTTTTGTATTTTTAGTAGAGACAGGGTTTCACTGTGTTGGCCAGGCTGGTCTCAAACTCCCAACCTCAGGTGATCTGTCTTGGCCTCCCAAAGTGCTGGGATTGCAGGTGTGAGCCGCCACACTCAGCCTGAAATCAAGTGTTTCAACATGTAGCACAGTCTGTAGATGTTTTGAAATCACAAAATATGAAGATAGAGCTGTTAAAACTTTTGTTTCAACATTCCTAGAAAAAAACATGTAAAAACAAAATGCTCAACACCTCCTATTTGAACCATATCCAGTTCTATTTGTTAACTAGATATTTCACAGAGACTAGAAAATAAGAATGGAAGGCTTTTAGATTAATAAAATTTCCATGAAAGCCAAGATTTTGGAAATTCTGTTTCTGCAAGTTACTAGCTGGATAAATTCACTTCTCTATGCCTCAATTTTCTCATATATAAGATGAGGAAATTAATAGTGCCTGTGTCATAGAGGTGTGTTGGAGGATTAAATGGATTTATGTATGCAGCTTTAAGAAAGGGCCTGGCACATAGTAAGCACTCAATAAATGGTAGCTGTTACTTTCTGTTTACCCTATTTCCTAAGTTTTTAGAATAGTGTCTGCAAAATAGTAGGTACTTAATAAGTTGATGAATGGATATAGAAATTCTGATTATAACTATTATATTGTTCTAACTATACCCTGTATATAAAAGAGATAACTTAGTAAATTTTCCCCAGTATTATAAAGAAAAAGTCTTTATTCCCTAACATCATGTCTTTCCAGATGTGTTGAGATCATGATGTGTAATGGAAATTAAAGCAAAGAGAATACTTTTGTAAATACTTCATTGAACTTCATAGGTAAGAAATACTGTCTTTAGGAAATGACGCTTGAAAATAATTTACTGAAGCATCTCTTAGAGATCACTGGGTTATTGGCAAAGACGAAAATAGAAATTAGGAAGGATTTTATGCCAGTGTATTCGTATAGTATTTGGAGGACATCCAAACTGTAACTCTTCTAATGATCTACGTACATTTTATTTCATTATAAGTGTAACATAAAGGTAAAATATCTTGCTAAAGCTTACCAACATCTGCTTCCAGAGATCTGGCCTTTCTGAGTGTTTTAAGAGAAAACTTTATTCCTCAGGAAAAGTACATACACTATTAGTAGTGTATTCAGTTATCAAAATTCTTACGGCTTTGGTCATTTGATTTGCTACTGTTACTCTCTTATTTATCAAGGAATTGATCTTTCTTTAAAATGAAAGGAATGGTATTTTAGTGTTCTAGAATACACATTTTTACCTTCATAGAAGTGCCAAATAACTTTTTAGAAAAACTTACAAGTATGTATATGTCTTAAAAAATTCAGATGATTAAAGGATAGGAGTGTAGTCTATAGTAGAATCTTCAAACAAGGGTCTGTATACTCCTGGGAATATTAAACTTTCTAAGGAGTATGCAGGCATAAATAGCTTTAAGGGAATGCAAATTCAAATCCCAATGCCCATATAAACTCTGTATTAAAATTGACCTACTTAAAAACATGTCCGTGATCAAGGGATCATGCCAGTTCTTTTTCCCTTCTACTTTAGGTAATCACTATTCTCCCATTTCACAAAAGAAATCTATGGCAAGTTTGTGTTTTTCAAAAATGACCCCAAGAATATTTAAAGTCTCATACCCTCTAGAACCTTGCCGCTACCCCATCAAGATGTGGACTTATGTTCCTTCCCTTTGAATGTTAACAGACTTCTTTTTTTAAGAGATAGGGGATCTCCCTATAGGTCTCCCTATATTGCCCATGCTGGTCTCTTAATTCTTAGGCTTAAGGGATCTTCCATCCTCAGCCTCCCAAAGTGCTGGAATTACAGGTGTGAGCCACCACCTTCAGCCTCTTAGCCAACTTCTGACCTCCATAATTATGCATTGTGGGTAAATTGTGGTGTTAAGAATGAGTTATGGGGTGCCTGGCTCACACCTGTAATCCCAGAACGTTGGGAACCCAGGCAGGCAGATCACTTGAGGTCGGGAGTTAGAGACCAGCCTGGCCAATATGGTAAAACCCCGTCTCTACTAAGAATACAAAAATGAGCTGGGCATGGTGGTATGCACCTGTAATTCAAGCTACTGGGAGGCTGAGGCAGAAGAATCACTTGAAACCGGGAGGCAGATGTTGCAGTGAGCCGAGATAGCGTCATTGCACTTCAACTTGGGTGACAGACTCCTATCTCAAAAATAACAAAACATTATATTGGCCCATATGGAGATGTTCAGATTCAGATGTATTATCAAGTTGGGAAATCATGATGACAGTGTTCAATGACCTTGCCTTTTTGTTTCTGGACTATTTAAAAAAGTTGTTTCTTCTGTGGGTGTATTGTGTGAAAGGAAAGCAAAAAGCATGAATTTAACATGAAGAAAAAGATACCTTATTTTTAGGCAAAAAGCAAATGGTAATGCTCTTTGCCTCATCTATCTAAGAATTAAAATATTCAAGATTAGTGTAAAAGCATGATTAGTGTTGGTGAATCTCCTGTGAAGCTAGCTCTGTTTCCACTGTTCTTGATAATGATAAAGAGCCTGGTGAAGATTTCTCAATTCCTGTTTCAGTAGCATAATTTGCATGATTTCAAGGAGGAAGCAGTTAAAAGTTTCATGTTTACTTCTGACATACTAACATTATATCTTCGAGTTAAAAACATATTTTAGAAGTAAGTTTATATTTTCTGAAACATTTTCAGATTCTTAAGAGGAACATTTTCATTGACCCTTGCCTGTACCTTTACTATTAGGTTCTATAAATCCATATTAATTGTTTTACCTAGGCCAAAATCTACTGCTATTGTCACTCAACGATTTCTCTGTTTCATTCATTCCTACATATACTTAGGTTTCAGTTAACAGAAATATGTTGTGGTTTTTATTGTAAATAAGACACAAGACCATCCTGGTCAATACAGTAAAACCTCGTCTCTACTAAAAATACAAAAATTAGCTGGGCGTGGCAGCGCACTAATTAAAATGAAGGAAAAAATACCTTGTTTTTAGGCAAAAAGCAAATGGTAATGCTCTTTGCCTCATCTATCTAAGAATTAAAATATTCAAGATTAGTGTAAAAGCATGATTAGTTTTGGTAAATCTCTTGTGAAGTAAGCTCTGTATTTCTAATATTCTTAATAATGATAAAGAATTAAAAAGTGTTGTAGGCCAGGCCTAGTGGCTCATGCCTGTAATCCCAGCACTTTGTGAGGCTGGCCTGAATTTAGTGAGTTATATCAATTGATTGTTCACAGTCAGTTACAGATCAAACTGCTTGTTCTATTCTTCCCCACCCCTTCTCAATGCTGCACTTCAGTCTGGAAAAAAAAAAGTAGCAGCCATCAGGACATCTTATATAAGCTGAACTTCCTAATGACTCAATTATCTATTTATTTATTTATTTTGAGATGGAGTAGTGCACTGTCAGCTCTCTGCAACCTCCACCTGGGTTCAAGCAGTTCTGACTCAGCCTCCTGAGTAGATGGGACTACAGGTGCACACCACATCACCTGGCTAATTTTTACATTTTTAGTAGAAAAGGGGTTTTGCCAGGTTGGTTTCAAACTCCTGACCTCAGGTGATCTACCAGCCTTGGACTCCCAAAGTGCTGGGATTACAGGAGTGAGCCATCATGGCCAGCCTCAATTATCTCTTTTATTTTGCTCATAATTTCCATAATTTATCATCTAATTTAAGTTGCTTTAAGATTCACTATTTTTTTATATGCCACTTAGCAAAAATATTGCCAGTTAGGCTATGATATGTCATTGATTATAAGGTACATCTTAATTTCAGAGATGTTAAATATGTCTTAGTTTGATAAGATACCATACAATACTTTTTTTTTTTTTTTTTTTTTTTTTTGAGACTGGTCCTGCTATGTTGTCTAGGCTGGTCTCCAACTCTTGCCTAAGCCTCTTGGGTAGCTGGGATTACAGGTGTGTGGCACTACACCCAGCTCTTATACAATACTCTTTTTTTTTTTTTTTCCCCAGACAGAATCTCACTCTGTTACCCAGGCTGGAGTGCAGTGGCACGATGTCAGCTCACTGCAACCTCCACCTCCTGGGTTCAAGCAATTCTCCTGCCTCAGCCTCCCGAGTAACTGGAACAACAGGTATGCACCACCATGCCTGGCTAATTTTTTATATTTTTAGTAGAAACAGGGTTTCACCATGTTGGCCAGGCTAGTCTCGAACTCCTGACCTCCTGATCTGCCCGCCTTGGCCTCTCAAATTTCTGGGATTACAGGCATGAGCCACCAGGCCCGGCCTACAGCACTCTTAAAAGCAGAACATACACTTACATATAGGTAGGTATATAGGAGTAGACGCCCTGAAAAAGTAGTGTGGGACAGTACATTTGACTAGAAAATTGACTTTATTTAATTAAACTATTCTCAGATATTTATGTTTGTTCAAATTCACTAAAAAGCATAATTGTAGCCAGGCACAGTGGCTCACTCTGCGATCCCAGCACTTTGGGAGGCCGAGGCAGGCAGATCATGAGGTCAGGAGTTCAAGACCAACCTGGCCAACATGGTTAAACCCTGTCTCTACTAAAAATACAAAAATTAGCCAGCCATGGTGGTATGTGCCTGTAATCCCAGCTACAGAGGAGGCTGAGACAGGAGAATCACTTAACTCAGGAAGTGGAGGTTGCAGTGAGCTGAGATCATGCCATTGCACTCTAGCCAGGGCCACAGAGTAAGATCCTGTCTCAAAAAAAAAAGTTTAACAATTAAAAGATTGGCAACAATCTAAATGACCATCAGTAGGAGAAATTATAAGTTGTGTATTTGCGCAGTGTGATAAGATAGCAGTTGATTGAATTAGAGCCACTTGATACAACATGAATAAACCTAAAATCATGTACAAACAAAGGCCAAAGCAAAAGTTATGTGATACTCTTTACGTAAAATTTAAAAGTCTGCAAAACAATATGCTGTACTCTCTATGGGTGGTAAATGTAAGGTGATAGTATAAATACAAATAAAAGTAACAAATACTTCAGATAAAGTAATTATTTTGGGGCGGGTTTGGGGAGATAACAAGCTTCAAATGAACTTGAATGTGTGAATGGGTATGTGTTTCAAGTCAACCAAATTTGGAAAATGTTAAAATTTATTAAACCTGGCCATGGAATATACATATATTTATTTTCTGTTCTTTGAAATATTTTATAATAAATTTACTCTGACCTCCTAACTCATACTATGATGCCAGCATCACCTTAATACCAAAGTCAGACAAAAACATTACAAGAAAGGAAAATACATACCAATATCTCATGACCATAGATGGAGAAGTTCTCAATAAAATATTACCAAATGGAATCCAACAATAAATAAAAAGAATTATATTGGCCAGGTATGGTGGCTTACACCTATAATCTCAGCCCTTTGGGAAGCCAGGCTGGGAGAATCACTTGAGCCCAGGAGATGGAGACCAGCCTTGGCAACAAAGTAAGACCTTATCTGTACAAATGCTGGTCCACGCCTAGGGTCCCAGTTGCATAGCAACACATGAGAGGCTGAGGCAGAAGGGTAGCTTGAGCCCAGGAGGTCAAAGCTGCAGTGAGCAGTGTTCATACCACCACTCTCCACCCTGGGGACAGAGCAAGACTCTGACTCAAAATCAGATAAAATTATATACTATGACCAAGTGGTATTTATTCTAGATATGTAAGCCTTACTCAACATCCATAAATAATTTAAAGCTTTTTTTTTTTTATTTGAGACAGAGTCTTACTCTGTTGCCAAGGCTGGAGTGCGGTGACATGATTTTGGCTCACTGCAATCTCCACCTCCAGGGCCCAAAGCACTCCTCCCATCTCAACCCCTGGAGTAGCTGAGACTGCAGTTGCACATCACCATGCCTGGGTAATTTTAGTATTTTTTGTAGAGATGGAGCTTGGCCATGTTGCCCAGGCTTATCTAGAACTCTTGGACTCAAGTGATCCACCCACCTCAACTTCCCGGCGTTACAGTTGTGAGCCACGGTGCCCAACCACAAAAAAGCACTTAACAAAATTCAATACCCATTCATGACAAAAACTCTCAGCAAGCTAGGAACAGGAGGGAACTTTCTCAACTGGATTTTTTTTTTTTTTACTTTACAAAATTCTACAACTGACATCATACTTAATGGTAAGAAATTAGATTCTTCCCACTAAGATCAGGGAAAAGGTCAGGATGTCCTCTCACCACTCTTATCAATATGGTACTGAGATGCTCACTAATGCAATAAGACAAGAAAATAAAAGTATAGAATTTGGGAAGGAAGAAATAAAACTTCCTCAAAAATGACATGATTGCAGAAAATCAAAAACAGAAAAAACTTCTAGAACTAATGAGCGATTACAGCAAGGTTGCAGGATACAAGGCTAATAACACAAAAGTAAATTGCTTTCCTACATATCGGTAATAAACAATTGGAATTTGAAATTAACCTAGTACCATTTACCTTAGCACCAAAAAATAAATGCTTAAGTATAAATCTAACAAAATATGTACAAGACTTAATGTAAGGAAAACTGCAGAAATGGTGAAAGAAAATGTATTCCATGCACATGGGTAGGAAGATTCAATATTGTCAAGATGTCAGTTCTTCAAAACTGGATTTGTAAATTCAACTCAGTCCCAGTCAGAATCCCAGCAAGTTACTTTGTGGGTATAGACAAATTGATTCTGAAGTTTAATAGTAAAGGTAAAGGACTCAGAATAGGCAATACAGTATTAATTGAGTTGGAGGACCGACAGTACCAGACTTTGGTATTTACTTATAAAGCTACGGTAACCTAGACAATGCGGTGTTAGCAAAAGAGTAGACAACTAGATCAGTAGAACAGAATAAAGAGACCAGAAATAGAGTCCCAAATACAGTTGTGTGACGCACACAAATACAAATTGATCTTAATCAAAGATCAGTTGAGTTTGATCAAGGAGCAAAGGCAATTCAATGGAGAAAGGATAGTCTTTTCAACAAATAGTACTGGAACTACTGACCATCCACATGCAAAAAGTGAATCAAGACGCAGATAGTACACCTTTTACAGAAACCATCAAATGAATCACAGACCTAAATGTAAAACACAAAGCTATAAAAGAAGATAACAGGAAAAAATCTGTGTGAACTTGGGTTTGGCTATGACTTTCTAAAAAAATTTTTTTGTATAAATTTAAGGGCCACCAGAGCAATTTTATTACATGGATATATTACATAGTGGTGAAGTCTAGGCTTTTAGCATAAGCATCTCTTGAATAATGTACATCATATCCACTAAGTAATTTCTTATTCCTCAGCAACCTCTCACCCTTCCAACTCTCCAGGGTCTATTATTCCACACTGTATGTCCACATGTACCCATAATTTAGCTTACACTTATAGTGAGAGCTTGTAGATCAGGCATGGTGGCTCACGCCTGTAATTCCAGCACTTTCGGAGGTTGAGACGGGCAGATTGCTTGAGCCCAGGAGTTCAAGACCAACCCAGGCAACAAAGTGAGACCTCATCTCTACAAAAATTAGCCAGGTGTGGTGGTGTATGCTTTGGTCCCAGCTACTTGGGAGGCTGAGGCAGGAGGATTATTTGAGCCCAGGAGGTTGGAGCTTTTTGAGTGAGCCACAATCATACCACTACACTCCAGCCTGGGTGACAGAGTAAGACCCTGTCTCAAAAAAAAAAAAAAAAAAAAGCTGGGTGCAGTGGCCCAGTGGTGCACACTTGTAATCCCAGCACCTTGAGAGGCCAAGGTGGGCAGATCACTTGTGCCCAGAAGTTAAAGACCCTAGTGCTAACATCTTACATAACCATAAAACATGTGTTAAAACTAAGAAGACTAAACAAACTACAGACTTCATGTGGCTTTCATCAGTTTTTCCAGTCTTTTTCTATTCCAAGATCCAATCCAGGATTCCACACTGCATATAGCATCCATATACTTTCTTAAAAAATAGTCACACCCAAAAAAATAAAATAAATGCTCTAAAATGACTGGACAAAGAAAAAAAAAATAGTCACACCCAAGCTAATGAATAATGTTATATAAGTCTAACTTATATAACAAAACACACCACCTCAGGGACTGAAAGTCTCATTATTCATTCGTATTGAAGGTCAAAAACCCATGGATGATTTGTATTTCTTTTCAGGTTTACATATAATATAATTTCTCATGGCAAATGATTGCTAAATCACACTTAACTGACTCCGAGATGCAATCGTCGACAGAAAATATGGTGGTTGGGCCACCTGAGTAGCTGGGATTACAGGCGCTGACTGCCATGCCAGCTAATTTTTTTTGTATTCTTAGTAGAGACTGAGTTTCGCCATGTTGGCCAGGCTGGTCTCGAACTCCTGACCTCAGGTGATCCACTCGCCGCAGCCTCCCAATATGTTGGGATTACAGGCGTGAGCCACCACACCTGGCCTTTTTTTGAGATGGGGTTTCACCACGTTGGCCAGGCCTTGAACTCCTGGCCTCAAGTGATCCGCCCACCTTGGCTTCTCAAAGCACTGTAGTTACAGGCATGAGTCACCATACTCGGCCCATATACAGATTTGATTATTATTTGTTCATTAAAGACTAAGCTTGTATAGTGTCCCAGGCACACTACTTGATGCTAGGAGTAGAAAAAAAACAAACAAAAAAACTATGGCCCTCATGGAGCTTATTATATGGGGGGGAAAATGATGATGCAGGAGACAGTGGTGAGCTGATATGTTCTTTGTTTGGCAGGCAGAGATTTTCTAGTAGTCCAGATAATTTTTCCATAGCAGCAGAACAGAAGTTAGTGAAATGGAAATGGTTGCAAGAGGTAGAAGTGATGTAGTAGGAGTTATGGGAGTTCACCTTTGTATTCATCAACATGGTCACTTTCATAAAAATGCATATACCATGTTATCACCATGGAATGTAAATTCAGGCTAGACAGGATAATTTCACAAGTATAATAGCATTCTGTAGTATGTAAAAAGTTGTGTGCTGGGCATTTGTGGCTCACGCCTGTAATCCCAGCACTTTGGGAGGCTGAGGCGGGTGGATCACCTGAGGTCAGAAGTTTGAGACCAGCCTGGCCAACATGGCGAAACCCCATCTCTACTAAAAATAGAAAAATTAGCCGGGCATGGTGCCTGCCACTTCTGATCCCAGCTAATGGGGAGGCTCAGGCAGGAGAATCACTTGAACCCTGGAGGTGGAGGTTGCAGTGAGCCGCGATTGCACCACGCCACTCCAGCCTGGGAGACAGAGTGAAACTAAAAAAAAAAAAAAAAAAAAAAAAAAGTTTGTGTATATTTTCTGGCTAAACCAGTTTGCTCGTAAGTCATTAGTCAATTCCATTATAGGTGGTTTATTTAATGTTTACAGCTTTTATGGAGAAAATAAGCAACATACACATTTTTAAAGTTCATTTATTTTTGCATGAGTGCTTAAAATACATATTTATTTATTTATTTTTGGAGACAGAGTCTCACTCTGTCACTCAGGCTGGAGTGCAGTGGCACAGTCTCGACTCACTGCAACCTCCACTTTTCAGGATCAAGCGATTCTCATGCCTCAGCCTCTAAGTAGCTGGAACTACAGGTGCTTGCCACTATGCCTAATACTTCTATTTTAGTAGAGACAGGGTTTCACTATGTTGCCCAGGGTGGTCTCGAACTCCTGAGCTCAGGCAATCCACCTGCCTCGGCCTCCCAAAGTGCTAGGATTTCAGACTCTTGCAACTGTGCCCAAAGTACATATTTCTATTTCAAAATGACATTTAAACAGCAGCAAAAATACAATTCTGCAATTACAGAAGAACTAAACTGGAATCCAACAGTTATTCTGTTTACAGTTGTGATTCTTTAATAAATGCTACTACCGTCCAGCTCTATTATAAGCTTCTGAGATTGGGTTTAAACACACACACACATAGATAATGTCAGTTATGGGAGGCTTTACAAGTTATATTCCATGCACTTTTTGGACAGAGTTCTAAAAGAGCCAGCCAGTCCACAAGACAGGCAGAAAAAAAGTTAAATTAACTGGGCAAATAGGACTCTTATACAACATCCAAAACGTGAGATTCTGCAGCAAACTGGGGGGACTTTAGGGTTGGAATACTATTTTCTTTAGAACAAATTTCATCTTAACAGTTTAAGAAGGTAGACATTTCAGCACCATCAAGTGTATTTAGGTGACATGTTTCTTTTATGTTAATTTTACTTCCTTTAATGACCTAGTTAGTAAACTAGTCACTAGTAATTCAGTTACCAGGCAAATCAAGCCTGCAAGAAAGGAAGCCAGTATTCAAAATTCCGTGTTACCCTCTGAACCTACTCAAATAGTTTATTTTCAACATTAATATATGAGATGTCTAACTAAAGCAAGCTCCTCCAGCAAGACCAAGACAATATGTCTTCTGCTATGGCTTAGGTTTTGCCCAGAATTCCTGATACATGGAATAGCCCGTACCAACAACGGCCATTGCTCCTACAACAAAGCCTTGGGCTGCCATACGCATGTGGATCAGATAATGAGACATTTTAATATTTACCCTGCTCTTCAATTTGTATAATCCATATGCAACAATTGCTACAAAATCTGCTATTCCAGGGGAGGCGAATGGTGCCTCTTTAGCTTTTCAATTAAATTTAGATCCCTGATCTTCATCTTACAAAGAAAATGAAACATCTGTGTCTTATCAATCTAGTGATTGCTTAAAGAATCTCCCTAGAGCGAGAAAATCTCTCAGATGCCAACCGATATATCTCTCCTATTTATTTATATATCTATGAAATAACCTTCAGCTAGATTCCAAACCCAGTGGTACAAGGGAGAGAAAACAGCCATCACTGGAGAAGGCTACAGGGCAATCAGTGTCCTCAGGGAAGAGCCAGGTTTCAGTCCAAGAAGGCCAAGGGAACATTTAGAGAAAAGGTGTCTGTATTTCTCCAAACAAAACCATACTTTAACACACTTAGTATGGTAAGCTAAGGTCAAAATTATTATTAGAGACGGAGTCTCACTCTGTTGCTCAGGCTGGAGTGCGGTGGCACCATTTCAGCTCACTGCAGCCTCCACCTCTTGGCTTCAAGCAATTCTCCTGCCTCAGCCTCCAGAGTGGCTGGGATTACAGTTGTCCGCACCATGCCTGGCTAATTTTTGTATTTTTAGTAGAGACCTGACCTCAAGTGATCCTCCCACCTCAGCCTCCCATAGTGCTGGGATGATAGATGTGAGCCACTGTGCCCAGCCAAAATTATTTTCTCTTAGACATTGAAGAATCTTTTTTGCATCTAATGTTAATTGGTGAGGAGTTGGATGCTAGGCTGATCCTTTCTTTTGTAGACAATCTGGTATTATTATTTTCTCAATATAAATAAATCTAAAGTTCCAATAAAATCTAAAACTCTGAAATTTTGCTTTGATATATTCCAAGTTTGAATCCTTTGTCATGTATCTTGCCTGGTATTCCATGGGCTTCTTCAATTAGAATACTCATCTCTCCTTTAACTCTGGGAATTTTTCTTCTGTTATTTGTTTGTTTCTTCTTCCCCATTCTCTGTGGTTTCTCCTTTTGGAACCCCTATAGGATGGATAATGGGATATCTGGATCTATTCTTCATTTCTCAGTTTGCCTTTATACTTTTTAAAAAATTTTAGTGGTTAATTTTAGGGAGGATCATCCCTAGCATCTCTCAACTTGATAGCTAGGTTCACTAATTTGCTCTTTTTTGAGACAGAGTCTCACTCTGTTGCCCAGGCTGGAGTGCAGTGGCATGATCTTGGCTCACTGCAATCTCTGCCTCCCAGGATCAAGTGCTTCTCCTGCTTCAGCCTCCCGAGTGGTTGGGACTACAGGCACACACTACCATGCCTGGCTAATTTTTTGTATTTTTAGTAGAGATGGGGTTTCATCCTGTAGGCCAGGCTGGTCTTGAACTCCTGACCTCAGGTGATCTGGTTACCTTGGCCTCCTAAAGTGCTGAATTACAGGCATGAACCACCACACCCAGCCACTGATTTGCTCTTTACTTATGGATATTCTGTTTTTCAGCCCATCTATCCTTTTCTTCATAGTCATATTTTAACATCCAAAAACTTTCTTACTTTTATCAGCATTTGTTGTGATTTTTTTTTTTTTTTAGATGGAGTCTTGCTCTGTTGCCCAGACTGGAGTGCAGTGGCACAATCTTGGCCCATCACAACCTCTACCTCCCAGGTTCAAGCCAGCCTCAACCTCCTGGGTAGCTGGGATTACAGGCATGTGCCACCACACCCAGCTAATTTTGTATTTTTAGTAGAAATGGGGTTTCTCCATGTTGGTCAGGCTGTCTCAAACTCCCAACCTCAAGTGATCCACCCACCTCAGCCTCTCAAAGTGCTGGGATTATCGGCGTGAGCCGCCTGTGCCTGACCATTTTTTTTTTTTTAAGAAGGAATGCTGTAATAGTAATTATAGGTGACTTTCCAAAATTCCTTTAACCCTGATCTAAGTCAGTTATGGTAATTCCATTTCTCTTTTCAGTGATTCGTTTGGCAATATGTATGTAGCTCAATTCTGGCTACTGAGATATGCTTCTCTTTTAATATATTTTATTGCACTTTAGGTTTTGTATACATGTGCATAGATACATACATGGCAATGTGGTTTGCTGCCTCCATCCCCCTGTCACCTATGTCTGCCATTTCTCCCCATGTTATCCCTCCCCAACTCCCTACCCCCCACTGTCCCTCCCCTAGTCCCCCCAACAGACCCCAGTGTGTGATGCTCCCCTCTCTGTGTCGATGTGTTCTCATTGTTCAACATCCACCTCTGAGTGAGAACTTGTGGTGTTTGATTTTCTGTTCTTGTGTCAGTTTGCTGAGAATGATGGTTTCCAGATTCATCCATGTCCCTACAAAGAACATGAGCTCATCATTTTTTATGGCTGC